TAATGTGGGGAACAGCCTGTTCACAATATCCTGAACTCAGGAGGCAACAATCAAGAGTTATGACTGATCAATGGGAGACATACAAGATGCATAATCTATTTGAATTACATTGAATAAGAAGGTGTGTTATTTACACGCAAATGCCTGCTGTGTTGTGTTTAAGCACTAGATAAGTACCTCAGATAGTCTGAGATCAATGGGTTTGTTTTGATAATGCAGCCAGTGACCCTTTTGACCTGGAAAACTCTCGGAGAGGGCAAGCTTGTAACATCTATGGATGCTTGTCTCATTGCAACCCCAAATGCTTTATTTTCCTATCATTAAAAGAGAAGCCGGCCTTTATTTTAAAGGAAGCGAGGTGCAAGTTGGAGGCCTCTTCCCTCTCCCATTGCATAGGACTGAATAGGAAGCCAGCGTTTTGTCCTTCACAACGTAAAGGAAGCCCAGCTGTTTTCCTGATTACACTTTACAGCTGGAAATTTGGACTCTTGTCCTGCCTTTACAGCTGTTCCAAATCCAGCTAGAATTGTTGCATGCTGCCTTCTTGGCATGTGATCAGGACTGCACGCTCCTACAACAACAACAAATTATACTTATATAGTGCTTTCACATCGGGAGGACGTTCCAAGCTACTCGGCAGTCAGGGATTTGAATTTGAGCTGGGGGTTTGGGATCAAGGGGGTGGAGAACAGAGAGGATAGGGGTAGGAGTATGACCGAATGCGCGGTTGAAGAGGAGGGTCTTGAGACGTGCTTTGAAGGAGGGAAGGGAGGGAGAAAGACGAAGGGACTGTGGGGTGGGGTTCCAAAGGGTGGGGGCAGAAAGGCTGATGGTCCAACTGCCATTGTGAGGCAGGTCAGGAGGGGGACATGGAGCAGGCTGGAGCCCGCTGAGTGGAGGGAGCGGACAGATTGATATGGGATCATCAGGTCATGGATGTAGGAAGGGGCAAAGCCATGGAGGGCCTTGAAGGCGAGAATTTTAAACTCTATCCTCTGAGGAATGGGGAGCCAGTGGAGCTGGGCGAGGGTAGGGGGGGACACAAACTACAGAGTTCTGGATGATCTGCAGCTTGTGGAGGGAAGCCCAACAAGCAAGGAGCTGTCGTAATCGAGCCTAGATGTAATAAATGCGTGGATGCCTATCGCACATTGCGAGCTTTACACTGGCACCAGTAGAAGTTGCTTCAAACCGTGGCATATTGAAAGCTAAATTGCATGCTACAGACAAGCACACTGCGCATTTTGGAATTTGATTCCAACTGATGCACTGCAAAATCGTATTGTAAACAGCAAGTTAGTTAACCACCTATGTTTCATTCTGAATGAAAACCAGAAGCGGATACAAAGTATGAAGCTTGCTGTAGCACAACAGTGTACTGTTTGATTTGTCATGTTTCACTCAAGCCTGCATTTCTAGTACCTTTCTGCAAATGCCCACTTTTATTGAATGTTGTGGTTATTCTATCAAGTAGCGTTTTCTCTTAATCATCCGGGGATCGAACATGCACAGAAACCCATCACCTTGCCTAAGAGTCTCGAATCCAAACTACTAAAAGTACAGATATGAAAGGTTTCTATTTGTCTGGTTTGCAGCAACCTCTCTTATGTCAAAATGTCTGAAAAAGTGCATCACAGGATGTTGTTTTGAGGGGGGAAAAGGTAACTCAATATTTTTAGGTGATTGAGGAAAACAATTTGTAAACCACTGTGTCCCACAAGCACTCAAGAGTGGAATCACCAAATTTTCTTCTCAGGGCCCAGACACTGGCAGAAACTCCTTTCCTTTTGGAATAGCACAATGGGATCTTGAATGTCTACCTGAGCAGGCAGACAAAACCTCAGTTTAATATTACAACAAAGGATGATAACCTCTGACAATTCATAGCTTCCCAGTGATGTGCTGAAGTGTTAATTGAGTCTCTGAGCTCAAAGACTCAATGTGAGGCTTAAACCCCAACCTTTTGATTCAAAGGTGATAATCCTAGCAACTGAGCCAGAATCCAACCCCCCATTCACTGCTCTGTCCTGGAAACAAACCAGGTTGGTTGATCCACTATCGCTAGTGTGTTGCAAGAATATTGAATGTTCAGGTTTTGTACTTTCAATTCCCTTGCCAAGCGTGTCACCTTGAAGCCAACTCAGCCCGAAAGAGATACTACTTCCCCTCCCCCTGAGGATAGTCATTAATTGGTCATCAGATAACTCTCATAAATTGCCATGCAGTTAAGTATTGAAGGATATGACTAAGGCTTTATGCCCCCTTGTAGAGAAGGGATTATGTAATAGTCCTGTAAACTCTTCTCTGCGTCACTGTACAATCATTCTGTGTGAGGTGCGGCCAATTCAGGTTTGTTTAATTTAGTTTTTACGTGATAGAACTGTCAGTGCCTACAATAACTAAATTGTGTGGTGGGAAGGAAAGGGAGGTCCTTTTTTCCAGAGTGAAGTGATTGAATAGGAGATGCACACTCGGTGTGATCCGTTTTTATTTCCCTCTGCTGGTAAGAGCTGTCTGACCTATTTATTAAAGCAATATGAGGCTTTTATATATTAAAAAAAACACTGTAGCCGCAGACAATATCTAAAGAATTCAGCTTTCAACTAGCAATTTGTAAAATACAACAAAGTATGGTAAACTTCTCTTAGCTTTTAGAATCAGATTTGTGTTCAACCTGAATCCCTTTTCTCACACGCCATCTCGCTCTCACCAAAGTGACCTCCTTATAGGGATGATAATGAACAACTAGATGGTGATGTTGACTTTTTTTATTGGAAGAGGCGAATGGAACATACAACTGCCTGAAACCTGGGCTATGTTTCACCACTCATTGCTATAAGAAAGAATGATTTCTACTGTGGGGGTTATCTGACCAGAAGGGGCAGAAGCAGGTGCAGGGATAGTGATGTTATCCATACTTGTGTGGCAACACCACGTGCATTGTGTGAGTGACATGGAAAGGTTCTCAGAAGTCTACAAACTTGTTTTACCATAAATATCCGTGTGATGTCTGTCCAATCCCCTCGACCCCAAGCCCTTTGTATATTTCAAATTCATATTTGGTGCCCTAATTTTGGAGCCTCCTAACCCTAACAGTTCATAAACAACAACAACAAATTACACTTGGAAAAGCCCTTCACGTCGGAAAGATGTCCCAGGATGCTGGGATTATAAATAATAATAATAATTCTCACATTTGATATAGCGCCTTTCATGCCAAAAGGCTGTGGATGCTGGATCCATTCACATTTTCAAGATTGAGGTGGATAGATATTTGTTAGGTCAGAGTATCAAGGGATACGGGGCAAGGGCAGGTAATTGGAGTTGGGGTACAAATCAGATACAATTGGATTGAGGTATAGGGGGCTGAATGGCCTACTCCTGTTTCTATGAGGACGTCTCAAATCACTTCACAGGATTCACTGTAAAGTGTAATGATTGCACATAGCAGCTCTGAAGTTAATGACAAATTGTATCTGGGAGATTATTGGCCAGGACTCTTTGTAACTTTAGCAAAGGTCAAACCCTGAATTCTACTTGGAAGATTTTTGGGTAGTTTATTTGCAGCAGATTTAAGGAATGGTTAATCACTGGCACCCCATATAGGTGATGCCTGATTAACAGCTATTTGTTGGTAGAGTAAAAGTGTACAAAGCAACTGGGTGATAACAGCCCATCTTTCAATAACCCTTCCTTCAGGAGAAGAGATGAGGAGATCAAATCTGTTGCCTTTATTTCTTGTCCAGCTTGTGGTCTTGTAATGCTTTCCAGATGGAAAGCTCCAATTGCAAAAGCTGCCATTCAACGGCAAAGCAACAACAATCCTGGTCTGTTGGCTCAGAATCACTTTTCTCCATTATTCTGGAAGAAGGATCAAAGAATTGATTCAAAGCTATTGTAAAAATAACTTAAATGGCCATGGGAAGGTATAATGGTTTATTTAGGAGGGACGTACATTTCAAAATTAAATAACTGTAATATATAGATTGAAAACTTTTCTATCCAGTGGAAAGGGATTGAAATATCATAGTTTTATTTATAAATATATAGAATTGACTATATTTTGCCCACAAATATACAGTAAATTCACTTTACAGTATATTCTGCGAAGTAATTTGAGATGTCTAGAAGACATGCTAGGGTGCTATACCAAATGCAAGGATTATGTCATTATTACTGTAACAAAAAAATCTTAAAAATAATGTTTTTTTTAAACATATGATTTGAGTTTTTGCCTTGCTGGTAAAACTGTTATATTTACCAGGCGAGGTATTCGTATAAGCAGGAGGGTGACCAGAACAACCAAGAAGTGGCTTAACTCACATTTAGTACAGTAAAACTCTCATACGTTTTATCTTCATAAATTATATAATTGCCTAAGGTGTACATTCACCCAAGTCCCATTTAGTTTCCTATCAAAACCATTTCTTTGCACTACTCGTATCAATCACCTCCTAGTGCACTTACTCAGGAGGACAGTTCATGGTGGGTTTAATCTTAATGTATTCAAAGAATCATTTGGTACATGACACAGCCAGAAGACCTTGGCTGTACAGCAGGTGCCTTGGCACCAAGTCTGGTATATATCAGAAGGTCTCTCAATTTGGAAGGTTTTGATAGTGAAAGTGGAATATTCATGGATATTCAGAGACCCCAGAAATTGAGTAAAACCCAGGGGCACATTGGACCAACTACAGCTGTCGGGCAGTTCTGCTGACTATTTTTGTTCAGTTTCAATTGGGAACTTATGATAGTCTTGTTTATTGAGATTTCCTTAGGATTTATTCCTGGCACAGTATAGCTCATAGTGTAACTCAAGCACTCTGGGGCATTACTGTGCGTGAGGACTGCTATATAAATACAAGTTGTTATTGTTGTGAATTCAGAATATCTGTATTGTTTTAATAATGAACTGCAGATTACTTTCTGTTTGGTGACTTTTAACCCATGTTTTGGAAATTTCAGTCTGTTCTAAATTATTCTTTTATTTTCCTTAACAGCAATGGACCAGCAAAGATTGACTCAGAGCGCTCCTGTCAAACCAACCTCCTCCATGGGCCCTCATAGTCCTCACAGTCCACAGGGAGGGGTGATCTCTGGCTCCAACAAACAGCAACAGATGAGGCTTCAGCAGCTTCAGTTTGAGAAGGAGAGACTTCGATTGAAACATCAAGAGCTCCTCCGACAGGTGAGGCCCCGAGTCAATACCACAGGACTGTTTCATTGCTCGTTCAGGGAGTCGGCTTGGCTCAGTTGGGAGCACTCTCGCCTCTGAGTCAGAAACTTGTGGGTTCGCACCCCATGTTGGAACTTTGAGAATCATAGTGTAGGCTGCAACTGTAATGCAGTACTGGGGGAGCACTGTATGGTTGGAAATGATGCCTTTGGATGAGACAGAACCATGGTCATATCTGTGTTTAGATGAACAATAAAGATCCCATTGACACTTCTTGAAATGAGAAGGGAGTTTCTCACAGTATTCTGGACAGCGATCCAATTTCATGGCTATTTGCTGTGTACAAATTAGCTGCCATGTTTGCCATCAAATTACTAGTCTTCAGATCATACCTGAGGTTGAAAACGTGTAGAATGGCAAAACAACAATGTAAATGGTGCCTTACGCTTCAAAGGCTACTCCTGTGAGAAACTGCATGTGTATCCTGCCTCCTCGTGAGGACTCAATACAACCCCCCACACGCCACCTCCCATATGATCTTCTGCAAATACTGCAAATTAGACCCCGGAATTGCTGGAAACTTTGTAGTTTTAAATATTACAAACAAATTATTCACCGAAATATGTGGGTTTCAGATAGTACTACAATACTTCTGTGTACGTGTTCTGCATTATGTTCCGGCCTTCTATTAAGTTTGGGTACTTTACTCTGACTGAAATGTAACCAATCTAGTCAAACATTAGCTTTCAAACAATTCCTTTGTAAGCCACAAGCTGCTGTAGTAGCTGAATTGTTTAATATGATACGACCTGGTTATTTCTGCATATAAAACAGTGCCCAGATTCCCTGCTGGGACTAAACAAATAATCAGTCCTGATCAAGCCTACAAAGAAGATTGGCCTTTTTTTTAACAATTAAGATAAAGTAAACTGGGAGAAACTACTTCCACTGGTCAGGGAGTTAGTGAATAAAGGACATAGTGTAATGTCATTACCAAACGGGGGGGGGGTAGGATAATCTTAATTACAGAGTAAATTGTTAGGATGTGGAATGTTCTACATTGAACGCTGGTTGAGGCAGAATCTACGTTAGCTTTTACGAGAGAGTTACTCGAATATCTAGAAAGGAGAAATGTAAAATGTTGTGGGGCCAAACCAGGAGAATGGCTGAACGGATAGCTCTTTTTGAGAGCCGGCATAGGTTCAATGGGCCATCTTCCCTGTACAGGTCAGGCCAGTTCTGTGCTTTCCATTCTGACAGATTTATAGATTGGATCCAGATTTGAAACAGTGGAGAAGATAGAGTGTATATATGCGTTCTGTCATTGCTCATACGTCTGTCTGTGTTTGATATCATGAGTGTTTTGAATGGCCTGTTTAATCACTGATGTTACGTATGAGATTTATTTTGAGACTGGAAAGGGAAGACGCTGCTTTTGACTGCATTTTTGCTTAATGTGTGTGTTAGCCTGACTCAGTGGTAGCACTCTCACCTCTTGAGTCAGAAGGTTGTGGGTTCAAGCCCCACGTAGGGACTTGGAATCAGAAAGTCTAATCTGACACTTCAATCCAGTGCTGGGGGAAGAGGTGTTGCATTGTCAGAGGTGTCGTGCCTCAGGTGAGATATTAAACAAGGTCTGCCTGTTCAAGTGGACGTTAGAGATCCCGTGGAACTATTTTAAAAGAGAAGGGAGTTTCTCCTGGTGCCCTGGCCAACAAATCCCCCAAATAAAATTGGTCACATGGCTGTTTGTAGGCCATTGCTGTGTCCAAACTGCCTGATGCGCTTCGCCCACAAAATACGGTCAATCGACTTGACAATATATCCTTTGAAACACTTTGAGACGTGATTAGGAGCTATATCAAATGCGAGGATTATTATTATTATAACTAGTCACATGCTGCATTCTCCCATCCCCCATTGTTTAGTGCAAATCAACCTTCTGAAGCTATATTTGTACTTCTGAATTTCACTGTTCATATCTTTCTTCTCTCAGCACGGCCTCTTTTTGTGCAGTTTACATGCTGTGGTTATGCTCCAATCAATTGAAGAATGGTTATCTGTTTAGTAAAATAAACAGTTTTTATATTCTTAGAATGGGACTTCTTTGAAACCATTACCCTATTTTTCAACACTTCAATATATTCCCAGAAGTGTCCTCTTCAGCGAGATCATTGTATTGTTTGAAATAAGCAGGTAGTTTTGTGTCTATGAATGATTTGTGACTCCAGATGGCTGCAGTTCCCCAATCTTGGCATTGCTGTCTGTATTCCTGGAACAATGCTAAGAATTCAGTACTTGTACCTGAAATGGGGATATTTAAAACTAAGTGAGGTTTTGCATGCCTTAAACAGCACCAGTTCTGAATTAGTTTTTTACAGTCCAGATTCAGAAAGTTAATTTTGGAAGGACTTTAATCTTGTTTTTATGATGTAAAAAGCAGATGGACTTTAAAACCGGTGTCTAATCATTTTTTTAATGCATTGCTTTGCATCGCCTTCCCCCGTCCCCCTCCACACACCAAAATAAAGCAACCTTTCTGCTTGGCTTTGTTTCCTTGAAGGGAAAGGATTGTATAGTCTTGACATTTAGCACTTGCGAGGAGATGGAGTGTTTCACTGTAACTGCTTTTAAGTTGGCTCCCCGATCAAGTGATTCTGAGGAAGGAACACTTTACTTCTGCTTTCCAAGTATTAAGTCGTAAAAGTTCTTCTGAGGTGCAATAGGCACAGAGAGAGGTTGAACATTATGGCTTATTTATCGCATGAGTCAAAATTATCACATCATCGATAAATGTCAACCAGGCCAGAAATCAATTTCCACTTTCAGTTTAAAAAAACTATTTCAGTTTCCGATGTGTATATAATCATGGACTCTGGCACTGTGCATCCTGGTTCAGTCAACAACTAATATGGTCATGTCTTTTGTTTATATATACTGTTATGCTCAACATCACAAACTTTCTTACACAGGAAAGCAAGCCCTGCCTCCAAAATTAACCAGAAAACTGGCAGATGCCGCAGGGCTCATACTTAGCAACATAGAAACATTCAGTCCATCAAGATTATTGTATTATTTTATTGGATAAAGGCAGATCTTTTAATCTGATTTGTTTACCATTTCCCCATATCCCTGAATGACTTTACTTCCACAGTATATCTATCTCCCCTTTGTAAGCATCCCAGTCATTTGTGACCTTAGCGAGTGTAGAATTTTAATGCAGTTGAACTTGGACTGATGGAGGGATGACTGCATGGCAGTAAAATCCCATATCTTTCCGTCTTCTTCAGCACGATAAGGAGTGGCTCCCAGGAAGCTGTAGAGCGCATGTTGACGCACCAGTAGATGGCAGACTGGGGTTCAGCATGTATTCTAATGGCAGTGTAAGTGTACCATGACAACAATTACTACTGTGAAATAGAACTGTATATTGAATTACTTTTACTGGGACTGAAGATGCTTATTGAATGTGAAACAAACTATCATTCTCCTCCCCTCCCTCCTCCCCCCCCACCCCCCCCCTCACCCCCCCACCCCCGTGCTCAGTGGCTAAACTCACTACGAGATATGATACTGAGATGTACAGATGCCAAGTTAGTGTTTGGACGATGCAGTATTTGCTAATTTTATTCTGGGTGTCAATGCTGGGTCAGAGGGGAGCATTGTTTGCTGGGCTGATCAGTTCCCAGAACATCCTGGTGGTATTACACATGTGCGTAGGCTGATTGAGGTTACAGTTAAGCTTGGTTGTTGAATAGCCCACAGGATCCAGCTCTTAGCCCATGTTTGCAGCATTTTGCTGAGTTACTGGAAAGCTGCTGCCACTCACTGAACTTGCCTCCAGCATTAGTCACAGCTTCGTGAAAGAAAGGGCGAGAAAGAATAGCGTAACAATGTAAAGCACATTTTATGGATGAGCTGCCAACTATCACTGGTTCCTTTTTACCCATTCATAAAAAAAAGGATGAGGTTGAGCTGTGCCACAGTACGTTTTGTACTGTGGAGAAAGAGCTGTTTATGCCCTTTATGGATTACAAATCTTTGGATTATGTGTGGTTTTAAACTTTAATTCTTCTGCCCGGCCACAGGAAATAGCCTTGCGCAATCAACTACCAACCATGGAGCAAGATGGCGGTTCTCAGAATGTAGTCTCTTCGCCTGCTATGGGCCAGGATGTCAGGACAATGACAACGAACAGTTCAGATCCATTCCTTAACAGGTAGGAGATCAATCTGGAGCCTGTGGTTAACTTGAAAGATTGTATTTATTTACTCATTAGATTTTTGAGAATTAATTTGGAAATAGCCAAATTAAATGTGTCAGTCTGGCTCAGTGGGGAGCACTCTTGCCTCTTGAGTGAGAAGGTTGGGGGTTCAAGCGCCTTGTCAGAGCTTTGAACTCAGTCTAGGGTGGCATTCCATTGCAGCGTTGGGGGTACCCCACATTGTCAGAGATGCCGTCTTTTAGATGAGACATTAAGCCGAGCTTCCATCTCTCTGTTGAAGTGGAAATTAAAGATCCCATGGCACCAATCAAAAACAAAAGGGAGTTTCTCCCGACCAACAATCCCTCTGCTCACTTTTGGTCATTAACTTCACGTTCGTAAGGCATTGCTCAGCGCAAATTGGCTGTGCCATTTACCTACAAAATACATACAGTCACCACAATTTACAGTAATTCTTGTGAAGCGCTTTGCGATTTTTTTCTTAATGTGAAAGGCGTTATATCATATGCAAGGATGATTATTATTATTCTTGCCTTCTCCCTGTCCTCAAATCATTGGTTTTCTTTCATATATGTTTATCGGAGCCAACGAGTGACAATGAGTGGAAAAGAGTTGTCCGTTTATGCCAGCCCAGGTCGAGCAACTCTTCAAAGTTCCAGCTAACGGAAAGCTGATACCAATGTTATACCTTCCCCTATTCTACGGCCACTGTCCAAGATGTAAACTGTCCCAAATGGGGCACATCAACATCAACGGTAACAAATAAAATTCACCTTGTAAACCAATCAGAAGGTTGTGGGACTTGATACCCACAACCTTCTGACTCAAGAGTGCTACCACCTGAAGCAGTCAGTGTAAACTGTCAGCAGATTCCCAAACTCCTGCATTAGTAGGCGAATACAGTGTATCCTCCCTGGCCGTAACCTTACAACCCCAACGTTGTGTCAGAAGTTGGAAAAAGAGTCTTAACAAACACAAAGAGATCCAAAGCTAAAGGGTTGGGCATTTTGTTAAAGGAGCACATGGATTAGTTGTTCTGCCATAGTAACAAAAAGCTATAACAATTCCCAGCACCTAAAGCCTGTGTGGAGGTGGCCATTTTGAGCACTGCTGAAGAAATGCTTGTAAAGATTTCATGAATATCAAAATCCTTTAATGAGAGGACTCTGGAGTCTCCCAAGACCAGGATAACATTTCTTGTCAGCTTCCCATACCCTTTTCTCTGGACACTCACAATACAAAACGCTTGGCTGTCTGCCCAGAGAGTGCATACTCTTCATGGGAGCAAAAGTGCAGGTATTCCCATTTGCTTAAACAGGTAATGGTGATTTATAAATAGGACTAAAATAAGTAGTGTTTGAAATGTCTATTATGCTACAATTCCTCTTATTTTCTGATGGAATAAAACAATCAATGTAGTGTAATTGTACTTTTTGCCACAATATAATTTTTTTTACAGTACTAACAAACGGACTGGAGCCCATAGAAGTGATATGAAAGGATTTGGCTTCAGCCCAACTTGTGATACTCAAGTTCAAATCAAATTCAGGGTGTTGTTTGTTATTTGTGCAGCTTGAGTTAACCTGTTCCTCAGATACAAAACTAAATGGCATGCCCATACATATTAAAAATGTGCTTGGAAGTAAAAGACGGTTTGCATTCATGTCCAGTAAAACTCACAAGTATTATGAGTCAGGACCATAACATCTAATCTGATTTACGCAAAGTCCAAATTGCAGACGATCTGCATAAGTCGTCGAAAATCCGATTTAATTAATAATCTACACTGCGCATGAGTAATTCAATGCAACCTGTAAGTGCGAGAGTAATGGAGGATAGGGGAGCACCATTATGAGTTAGGAGGTGATTAATACGAGGAGTGCAAAGAAATCTAAGTGGTTTTGATAAGAAACTGAATGGGACTCGGGTGAATGTACAACTTAGATGATTGTACAATTTATAAAGATAATACTTATGTGAGTTTTACTGTATTGTATAAAGATTTGAATAAAATCACTGCAGTGTCCTAAAACCTAATTCTGCAGTAGATTCTGGTGTCATTGTGTTCAGTGACATTTGTGTCTTGCAGTTTCTTGGAGGAAAGAAACTGGAAGATTGTTTCTTCTTAAAAACGTTTAAATGAAAATGTCTGCAGATAATCAGATATTAAAAAAGGGGGGAAAATAAACAGCAGATCGTAATAGGGCATTTCTGTAAAACCCACTGAGCAATAATTTCATTTTAGTTTGAACTTTATAGTTTCTGAATATCAAAAGGCGCAACACATTCCTTACTTGAAGGTTCAAAAGACAAGGCTAGAGTTTCACCAACTATTGGTTTCGTGAAATTCATGCTAACTTTCAGCGATGCTGTGCTTATATAAATTAATTGGGTCTAGTTTCCACAGAGCTAACTGATAGGGATAAGCACAAATGGAGCGTGAGAACACGTGGTTGTAAAAATTAGACACTAAAGGCTGCTTGCTTAGAGCCATACAATAGAGTTATTCATACTCAGCTTTACCAGTTTCTGCCGACATATCTGATTTTCCACTAATTGGCTTGGATTCATAGAGCTGTCCAAAGGCTTTGCTGATTAGAAGCCAGAGGGTGTTGTTGGTGGCTGGATTTGGGGATGCATTGTAAAGAAAATTACTTTTCTTAGATTCTCAAAGCATAGAATTTTTTTTCTCCATTTGCTGACCTGCTTTCTTATTCTTTCAGTGGAACATACCATTCCCGGGACGAGAGCACTGACAGTGGACTCGGAATGAGCAGTTATAGTGTACCCAGAACTCCTGATGATTTCCTTAACAGTGTTGAGGAAATGGACACAGGTTTGTAAATATTTCTACATTTTTACTTTCAGGAACCAGTTTTATTATCTTTTTAAAATAATTCCGTTAAATAGTCAATAAATTTACCATCTACAAAGCATAGTTTCAGACTACTGTCCATTGAAATAGATACACGTATAGGATAGCGATTAGCAGACCCAAGACAGAATTTATGAGGAACTTCTTTGTGCAGAGTGCAGTGTGAATGTGGAACTCGCTGCCTGAAGTGGTGTTTGAAACAGTTTAGATGCATTTAAGGGGAAGCTAGAAATACATGAGGGAGAGGGGGATAGAAGGGTATGGGAAAGCATGCGGAGTGGGTGGGTTATGAACACTGGCATGGACTGGTTAGGCTAAATGGCCTGTTTCCCCACTGTACAGTCTATGTAAATCTATGTAGGCAGGCAAGGTAAAGATTTGCCATACACTTATACTGCAGTATGTTCACTGGAACACCCTCTGGAACTCCATCCTGCAGTCCCTCCGCCTCGCCCCCACCCTTGCCTCTTTCGAGACCCATCCCAAGACCCTCCTCTTTGACCGTGCCTTCGATCGCCCTCCTTCTCACCCACCCACCCCCCTAGAGCTCCACCCTCCCCGACCCCCAGCTCGGGTCTGAAACACTGATCATTCAGCGCCTAGGTACATCCTCCCAACTTGAAGGGCGCTATAGAAGTGTAATTTTGTTGTTGTTGCTCTAAACTACATCTTTATTGTGTGGTTGGGTTATTCAAGCTTCTCTTTGATTTGTATTGCCAGGTGAAAGTCTTGGTCCAAATAATATGGCCTCTCAGCAAAACCGTTTCCCAGACTACTTAGAAACTATCCCTGGTACGAACGTGGACCTCGGAACGCTGGAGGGAGAAAGCATGAATGTAGAAGGGGAAGAATTGATGCCAAGCCTGCAGGAGGCACTAAGCTCTGACATCCTCAATGACATGGAGTCTGTCCTCGCTGCCACAAAGCTAGACAAAGAAAGTTTCCTTACATGGCTATAGGGACTTTGATCAAATTAGACTGCCTTTGAATCTGTGAAGGATATGAACACTTGAGACATTTTTCTCACTTCTTGTTCAGGGCTTTAACTGAATTCTATTTCTTCCTCTGATGCAAGATTGAATAGACTCTAAACAGTTATAAATGATTCAGCTGTAAGTTTCACACATTGTAAAGCTGTGATTTGTTTTTTTTAAAAAAACAGCTATACAACATTCGTCTATTTTTTCTATGAAGAGTCAGAGGACATGCCTATTGATTTTTTTNCCTGGTTTTGACCCTTCTGATTTTCATACTTTTTGTATGTACATAGGCTGTTCCGCATGTAACCCTTTCACATATATTTGATCTGCACTGCTCGTGCATTTGAACCTTTTCAAATAGGGTTTGGTTTTCCTGCAATTTTCAAGTCTGTTTCTTCCCTTCCCCCAAAGAACTGAAGCAGATGACTGGTAGTAATTTTCTAGACTGATGACTTTTCCTGAGGAGGAAAATATGCTGTGCTAGCAAACCCGCTCAATGGGGTGTTCTCCGAGACTTAAGACAATTCAGAGCTCTTTGCCTTTAACTTGCAATTAAGTGCCTTCATCCAGTTTTCAAGCTTTGTTGTATCTTGCATCCAAAAATGCTGCCTTTATGGACCTTTTTAGACACAGTCTTCCATTTAACACTATGCACCACCATAACTTGGTTCACTCTACTTTTGATGAACTGTTTGGTAACTGGTAGATTTCACGCAAACAATTCTCCAATTAATTCTGGGAATTGAGTGATTTTAAACTTTTAAACTGTTGGATTCATGTAGTCTTATTTAAATATGAAAAGAATGACAATGTTTTTAATACAGTACTTGTACATGTGTCCTTTATAGACCGATCGATACCTGCTGATTATATTGTTGGACGTGTACGTTTGTTCTGTAGTTTCTGTCAAAATTGCTTTAGTTAAAATTGGAAGTAGTTTTTTTTCATTGCAGTGGATGCGCAGAGGGTTATTTTTTTAACCAGATGTCCTAAAGCATTTTTGGTTTTATACAAACTTAAAGAAAGAATAAGCCTTGAACTTGGTTTGCAGGTTGCAGGGTAAGGGGGGAGGGTAAAGCTTAATTATATTAACTGTTAGATGGTTAGAACAATAGGTAGTGTGAAGAGTACTATATATTACTGTAGTGAATGATTAGGTGGGGTTAAAGGTTCTAAGGACATATATGTATATTATACAAGTAAGAAACTATTAGTTTTAAAAGATGTGATAAATCAGCGGGAGTTTTGTGATCAAAAAGGTCTCCAAAGAGTATTCCCTTTTACGATAAAGTTCATGAACCTATTCTGCCCCATAATTTGTTTTCTAATTATGAGCTGCTGAACAAGTTTATAGGTTTTGACTACAGTGAGTGTAGTTTGATTTTAAACGGTAAAGTTCATGTTACTTCTGCTTTGAGTAATCTTTTTATGTAGGTACTGCTAGACATGCCTGAGGAAGGTTTGTAGCATTTTCCAGTATTGCTAAGTCCTCCTTGGTTTTCCCATTTCTTGCTCACTCCTTGGCGATACTGCTGCTTTCAGATTCCATCCGGGCAAAGAACAAAAGACCTATTTGCCACATCTGCTTTCTGTACATGGGCCACCAAGTTAATAGTCACCGTTTCTCAGGCTACTTTTTTTTTTAAGTTCTTTTGTAATTTTGAGTCCTAGCATTTTATTTATTGAAATTTCTTCATTTGTCACTTAAAGTGTTTGAGCTTTGATTTAGCTTCAAAGGTGACTCCTTGGATAGCTTAGTCAGTTGAGAGTCAGACCCAAGACTACAAGATTCCAGGCTTAAATCTTATTGGATCTACTCAGCTCTTCACCTTTAGAAATTGAACAACATGTATCATCTATAGTTTGGGAAATGAGCAGTCTCACTGGGGTTGAAATTTTGTGGTGAAGACATTGCCAGGCCGGTCTGCAGTAATCCAATGACATGTTAGTGGTTATCCAGCTGAAATGGGTATGTTGACCTTAGCTGAACGAGTACCATGAAACATATTGGTAATCTGATCAATTATTGTTATAGTAATTATTGAAGGATTGAGAAAGTCCTTTTTTTAAAAAAAAAGTAGGGATATTTGTTATTAGAAATGTTATGAATGGACAAATTTGTTTCCAATCATTCACTATGCAGGTTGTGTTTCTCCACGAGGGAAAACAAAGAAAATTTCAACATTCAGTCACCTTTTTTTGAGAAAGCAATACTCAATAATGCACATAAAACTAATTTGACCTTAAAAAGTATCATGTCATAGTGGGGGGGGAGGATATTGCCCCCCCCATTATGTCCCCTGTTCCATGCCTTTAAATGGAAGTGAGAATTTTGTTCTTTATTCCTGCCCTTTTGTCTTTAATGGATGTTAATTGGACTGATTGCATTGTTCTTAGTATACAAGCCACAAAGGAAACAAAATTATTGCTTTCAATGGCTGTGGACAGAGGGCAAGGAAGTGGTTGTAATTACTGTATTTTTAATTTTTAATTTGGTTGGTGACCTACGTTGTTTTACTGGTAGGAGATGAGAACCGATCAGTGTTGGAACTAAAGCAATGCAACAAAATGTTTCAATTTACAAAATATTTTCAAATGTTCTGTGGAATTGTACAGTTTTGCACATGCATAATGAAATCTAACTGAACATGGCTAGCCTTTCGCCTAGACATCTTTATATAGACAGAATGTGCATTAGGTATAAGTAGAACACTGACATTTCGCTGTCTTGTGATAGTGCAGTTAACGTGCAAAATTATTTTATATCAGAAGAGTACTGATAAGTGCACATATACTTGTTCAATTTATATTCAATAATGTTTTTTTAGGTGTACCAGCATGCCAGTATATAGATGCATACAGTAAATCCGGTTACATTTTATTTCTGTATGTAATACTTTGCCACTGGTTCGTGATGGTTCATGTGGTATAAAATATATTCTTTGTGGTAAAGAAATGTTCTCTTTGTTTTCTTGCCTTTCATCAGATGCATCACTGTCTTTTAGTTTGGAGTAGCTTTTCTCCCATGAGTTAGTGTTGGTGTGAAGAATACCAGTAGGACAGAATAGTTAATAAAGTCCACTGAGAACAAACTTTACAGAAGAAATAAAAGCAAACTGTATGTGCTGAAAATCCAAAGGGATGTTTGGAAGCGACTCCACAATCTCCAATCGCTTGAACTTTCCCTTTTGACATTTCACTCTGGGGTTTATGGATTTCATATTAGAAAGATAAGAGTATGAATACAGCCACGGGCAACAGAATTTGATCAATACTTAGCATCAGTAATTTCACTGTATTGTCAGCTCTCTCTGTCTTGGACACTCAGAACTAACATCTCAGGGTAAATCTATGCTAACAATAATAATACTTGCATTTGACCCAGTATCTTACCAATGTTGAAACATTACAGAAAACTCTTGTGAAGTGCTTTGAAAAGTGACATTGTATTTCTAGACAAATACGGCAGCCAATTTGTATACAGCATTGACCCGCAAATACCCAGGAGGTCTGTCTGTGCAAGTGGAAGCCACACAATGTTGGCACCACATTCTGCACCTCACTCTGTGTAACTGGTCTAGTGTTTGCCTCTGTTCTTGTATGCGCTCTGTTTCTGATCAATGCCACTTGTTTCAGAGCAGGCAAGTCAGGTGCTCTTAAGGCTCCTCTCCAAGATATGCTCCATTTGTACTTGACAAAACCCGTTTCCTTTAATGGAAACAGATGATTTAATGTCCTTTCGAGTATTTGGGAATAATGTGTGAAAATGGAGATGCAAAGAGTTGACTATTTAACAAAACATTAGTATAATCCTTGTTAACTTTTTTAAATGAAGCGTGGAATTGTTTATGTAAAGACTATACTGTATTTACAGATCTTACACCCCACCCCCAGTCTCAAGCACACCAGACAAGGCTTCGCTGTTGGCACCTTGCTGACCTTCAGAGGTATCAACATTGCCTTCATTCAACTCTTGAATCCTAGAGTGAAATGTTTGGCTGTAGCCGAATGTTTGGCAGTGCCCACTATTAATGCACATTTTTTTATACCACAAATAATTCTCCTCTTTGCCTTTAGCATAACTGGTCTTTTAATTGTTTAAATTGCATTGTTTTTTTCCAATTCCTAAAGAAAATGAATGTGATAATTCGGCAAATCTCTTGTCAACTCATATGTCCAATACTTCAATAATGGTGAGGGACTTAACCACCTCAGTAAGATCAATTCCTTCTGGGCTTACTGAGTTTGTTAAACTGCCTGCTTCAGCATCTGTCTGCCTCCTACTGAAGTTATCCAGTAAGAGAGGTGAGTACATTCACTTTCAAAGCACCAGTGTCTCTAGAAGGACCATGGCTACTGACCTGCCCATCACAAGGGACTTCATTGACTACACACACTGCCATGCACAGATAAATATTACTTTCAAATATTGGCAATATAGTTATTGTTTTTCGAAGTGTGAGCCCTCAACTTCCAAAACAGTTACAGCATAGTCATAGATGCATCTCAGACGTAGTCCTTCCCTGAAGGCTGAAGTATGGGAACTAATGCTAATTTGTTCTTACTTTGTTAATTATTACAAATTTAAACCTATATTTCTATATAGGTTTAAATCCATATACGTGGATTAGGGTTAGAGTTAGGGTTAAGAGACATTGATTCAGCTGTTTGCACTTCTGCTAAAATTGTGATTGAGTGAAAAAACATTCCACGAGCAGATGAGGGTATTTCAGAACCGATCATATAGAACCATTTCTATGTTCTGCAAAACAGACAGGTTTTTAAGCAATCGGCATTCACCTGCTTCTTTCCTTCAGTGAATGAATAGCAGGAATGCAGTCTCCAAATGTCACATCTCTCATTACCTGAGGGGTGGATTGGATTTTACAAGCTTAGGTTGTCTCCTCATCACCTGTCTTTAGTGGGAACCCAAAACTCGATTGTCAACTGGAAGTAACAGCCTTAAAAAGAGCCTTTGGCAAATGGGACACACAGCTATGCAAAAGTTGTTTTATAATTGTGATGAAAACCAGTACAAAGAAATCCTTTCTTCACCTCTTTGAGACAATATTTCAGGTAGGAGATTAACCCTTCCACTGTCTGATTTATAGAGGGGTGAGGTACGAAGAGTTAATGGGGAGGTTAGAATTTTTCATGCAGAGTGTTATTAAAACATGGAAAGCTCTATCACAAGTGGCTGTTGAAGCTAAGGCCATAAAACATTTGAAAGGGAATAGGGTAAATATTTAAATAAAGCAATGTAAACAAGTGAAGGGAAGATGGAATTAGGATTAGAATACATTAGCTTCAGTGGAGGAGTTAGCACTATGATATTAATAATCTACGCATTTGATATAGTGTTTATAGGTCAGGAGGATGTCTCAATGGGCTCAATTTGCAGAATGGCTTCCTTTATCTTGTACATTTCGATGATCTCATGATTCTAATGGGTTGCCAAACCATTTTTCAGCCAGGAATAAAAACATTCAGTTTAGAATGCAAGAGACATACAGCTGCCTGCTTAACACAGATGCCTGTATGTAATACAACATCTGGCAGTAGCAGCTCTACACCGTCTAAGACACACTTGAGATATAGAAAAGACTGAGGAAGGAACTGCCACCCAGTCATTAGCTGGAGTGCCAATAATACTAAAATATCAAAATAGCAATCTAGAAAATCATTGTTGATGTACAAATTTGAAACAACTCCCTTTGCTTTCTATATAAATGCGCTGTTTCCAATCCCAGTCCTTTATGGGGCTTACAACACCAACACAAACCAAAGCTAAACAAAACAAGACACTGGACCCACATTAGAAACACATGTCAGCCCCTGCTGCCAGAGCAGAGGTCCTGGGGAATGCAAATAGCACAAGTGAAAGGAACATTTTTAAATATCTAAAAATAAATGTAATTTGTAAGATAAAATACAAAACTGGATAAATGCAAGTTGTTGTTGCTGATGTGTTTGCACACAGATGGGCTATTTTCTTTGGATTAACATCTCGAGGCAGAAATAAAGAGTAATAAAATTGTTGTGCAATCCTGACTAACTGGTGCCACATGGGCTGGAAGTAAACTAACACATCAGGATCATAACAGGATGTAACATATCAGATCACAACAGGGTGAAACTGTAATCTCAAGCAATACACGATCTCAATAATGTTAACCTTACAATATGATATCAAAATAAAGGAAGTCAAAAGGTAAATTTAAAATGGTGCACCTCCAAAATCAGTTGTGACAATCATCTCTGAGACTCATGCATTGAAAGCCACTTGATCAAGGTACTGGGAATCCAGGTGTTGCCAGCAAAAGCATACTCCACTGTATGCAGTACCTTAGGGTGAGAGAGTGGGCAAAGAAGCTTCATTATTATTACACTACAGGGAATTGTAAGTCAGAGTCAGATCATGAGCATTGCAGTAAATCACCGTTCACTGACATTACACTGCAGATAACATTGGACATTACACGTCGGTTCACTGGCATTAAGTGAATCTGTGACCAGCACTCACAACAACGCAATGGCAGCGACTTCAGGCTCCCAACCATTCTCTTAAGTGATCACCTCCTCCGCCCACCTTCCCGCGCCTCTCCATTCTCACTTTCACTTCCACTTTCAAAGTTTGAGGAAATCATGGGGCCCCGCTATGACATTCGCATTGTCTATAAATCAGGAAGGTCCAACCTTTCGGATGCTGAGGGCCGGACTCCCTATGTGAGAAATGTCCACAGGCGGCATAAGCAATATTTTTGTGTTTCCCTTCCAGAAACATAACATTTACAGGTTATGGAGGGAGCAGGTGGGCCAAATGAAATGGAGGGGTGGGGGGGGCAGAAGAAATCAGCCCGTGGGCCACCAGTTGGACCACCCTGGTCGATATAATAAGCTGTTCATATTCTATTATGGTAGACTACACCCTATCCAGCTCCTATTAGTGAGAGGGAAGAAATGTAACAGTCTGCTGAGCTGCCACACAAAATCCTTCTTACTGAAAGAGCTTTTCTTACATTCTCGGGCATGTAACATCCTTGCCCACTGTCATTAAATATTTGAGCCAGAACCATTATTAGGGAAGTGCTGCTTATTCTAGTACACTGTCTGCTTTTGTCCTGGTTTGGGTTGTAAATTCTATTTTCAATCACAAATCACCTGGATGATTATTTGAAATTCATTATGCTCTGGAACTTTAATATAAAACATATCTGCCTTTGAATTCACTAGGTGGGACACTAGGTTTGCTGTTAGCAAACCTCTCCCTGGTGCCTCGGGCAGTTGGCTTCTCGAGGAGTAAATTTCTTGTTTGTTTTTTATCCCCACCTGGTTACCATACTCCTTACATTTTTCTAACTGGATAAGATTCAATGATTTTTAAAACAAAAGAAGCTGTTATAATAATATCGTTTTAACATTGTGGCATAAAACTTGTCAGCCATATGATACCACGTCTAAATTAACCCTGTGATCTATGGAACATAATCGTTCTATTTTTCCTTATCCTGAATGTCACACAACAATGGAAGCAGAGTTTACTTGTTAAAACATTATTTAACAATGCCCACATTTACATACAGGGTAACCTCTTTCCTTTAGAATTTTTTGTCATAAATATATTTTCCTTTCATAGAACAATAGAAATTGCAACATTGGAAGAGGCCATCTGATATTGAGCCTAAAATTGTATTCCCCCACTGTCACTAACCACTCTAACCCAGATTGCTTGCTCTATCCTCACACCACCTTTTATTCTACCTCTTCAAATGTTTATCAAATTCCCTTTTAATTGTTCTCATGGACTCAGGCTCAATCTTTTGTTTGGGGCAAATCAATATAAAATCTCATTCAAGGACAGTTTTTTCATGTTTGTTAAAACTTCACATCCTGTTATTGCCTTGTCACAAACCTTGTCCCCTGAGTGGGGACGAATTTTATCTGAGTGTCTT